CTTTCCAGCATCTGATCAATAAAGGGCAATGGAAAATGATCTTTCCTTGTGGCTGTGTTCAACCTTCTGTAGTCCACACACATTCTCCAACCTGTGATGGTTCTAGTTGGAATTAACTCATGCTTTGCATTTTTTACTACAGTCACACCACCCTTCTTCGGAACTGTCTGAACCGGACTTACCCAAGCAGCATCTGAAATAGGGTAAATCATACCTGCATCAAGAAGCTTCACAACTTCTTTTCTGACCACCTCCTTCATCATCGGGTTTAGCCTTCTTTGCGGTTACCTTACAGGTTTGATGTCATCTTGCTGAGAATTTTGTGCGTGCAAACAGAGGGGCTTATTCCCTTCAAATCAGAAATAGACCACCCTATGGTAGTCTTATGAGTTTTTAGAACTTCAACCAGCTTCTTTTCTTGGTCAGAAGATAGTCCCTTATTGATGATTACAGGGTACGTCTCTTCATCTCCCAAGAATACATATTTCAAAGTATTAGGCAGAATTTTCAATTCAACCTTAGGTGCCCCAACGTCTATGTCATCAATTTTTTCTTTAAGCACCTCCACAGCAACTTCCTTTTTTTCAAAGGGCATATGTTCACAGGCTCTCAACTCATAATCAATCTCTTGAGGACTCACCTTCTTCTGTTGAACGATTTCTTGAAAAACATCAATTTGAAAACAATCACTATGCTCAGCGGGTCTTTTCATAGCCTCAGAAACATTATAAGTAATCTCCTCATTATTCATCCTCAACTTAATCATTCCTTGCTCAACATCTATTAGAGCACGGGCTGTAGCCAAAAAGGGCCTACCTAAGAGCAAAGGCTTCCCACTTCCTTCCTCCATATCCAACACCACAAAGTCAGCAGGAAAGATAAACTTGTCAACCTTGACAAGGACATCTTCTATAATCCCATTAGGTGTCCTCACGGATCTATCGGCAAGTTGAAGAGAGACCGCTGTAGGCTTCAATTCTTCAATCCCCAAAGACTTATAAACAGAAAGAGGCATCAAATTGATACTAGCCCCTAGATCACAAAGAGCTCGACCAATGCAAATATTGCCAATAGCAATAGGGATATTAAAACTCCCCGGATCACTAAGCTTAGCTGGAATCTTCTGCTGAATAAAGGCACTACACTTCTCAGTAAGTGTCACTGTCTGGCATTCCTGTAGCTTATGCTTCCTTGACAAAAGATCCTTCATGAATTTTGAATAACCAGGCATACTTGCTAAAGCTTCTGCAAAAGGGATGTTTATGTGCAGCTTCTTGAAGATGTCTAAAAACCTGCCATACTGTTTGTTATAAGCCTCTTTCTTGAACCTCTCTGGGTAAGGTGCTTTAGACCGCACATATTCATGACTCAGCTCATGCTCTTTCTCAACCACAACAGGTCGCTCTGCAACCTTTTCTTTTTCAGTAACAGTTTCTTTGTTTTTTTCTTTCACAATTACCTCAACCTCTGGCTCAACTGCTCCATCATGCTTCTCGTCCTCTTTCGCACAATCTAGAATTGGAGTTTTAAGAGGCGCAACCACTTTGCCACTTCTAGTAATAATAGCCATGCAGTCTTCCTTTGGATTGATAACTGTATTACTTGGAAAAGTACCTGGAATTCTTTCTGAAACTTGCTTTGCCAATTGTCCTATCTGATTCTCCAGGTTCTTGATAGAAGCATTTGTATTTTTGTTGTTGGCTCTAATCTCCTCCATAAAGGTATTAGTGGTCTGAGCCATCTCATTAGAAGTCTTGGCCATTTGTGCAAAGGCTTTTTCCCACTCAGCAGGCTCTCGTTGTTGACTCTGTGAAGGCTGATTATAAGTATTAGATTTGAAATCCATGCCAACTCCCTGAGCTCTCCGCTGAAAATTGTTACCACCACCAGAAAAATTCTGATTTCTCTGAAGATTTGGCTGCTGAGGGCGCTGGTCATACCATATACCATTCACCTGCATTTGTTGAGGTGAATCAGAAGAAGCAAGAGATGGACATTCATTAGGAGCATGACTGTCCGTACAGTAGTCACAGACAAAAGCAACAGACTGAGCTTGAACTCCCGCGATCTGCATCTTGTCAAGCCTGGAAGTCAAACTAGCCATTTGTTAAGCTAGCAATTTATTTTCAGCCAGAACTGACTCATTACCTTCTAGATGAAGGCTACCTTTCTTAGACTTTGAAGATACCCCTTGATTTTCATTCCTGGCCATCCTCTCTATCAGCTCCAGAGTTTCATTCGCCCTCATGGTTTTAATAGTACCACCAGCTGCACCATTCAAAACCATTCTATCTTCAGGTGTGATGCCATTGAAAAATATTCTGACTTGATTACCAGCAGTCAAATTATAATGAGGGCACCTCCTCATCAAGTCCTTGAACCTGTTCCAGGCTGCACACAATGTTTCACCCTCAGTTTGAGTGAAGTTGGTGATATCATTCACCATTTGATTGTATCTCTCCATGGAAAAGAACTCTGCAAAGAACTTTGTAGACAAATCCTCCCATGTAGCAATGCTCCGTGCAGGCTGCCTCTCCAGCCAGCTAAGTGCTTCTCCCTTTACAGCAAAATGGAATAATCTCAACCGGATAGCATCATCAGACACCCGAGGGTGCTTGGTTGAGTCACATATCATTAAGAACCGGTCTATGAACCTGTGAGGATCCTCATGCTCATCTCCTCCAAATTGAACTCTCTCCACCAACTGAATTATGGAAGACTTCAACTCCCAATTATTGTCAGCAATATTCGGTTGGACAATACTTGAATTAGGCCTGTTGAAGGCTGGAGTGAGGATGGTATCCATAAGTGGATTTTCAGCTTCATTATTCGCTGCCATGGTTGGGATTTCAGGGGCTTCTTCAGATTGAGCACTTGGCACTTTTGATTTCTTCTGAGCAAGTCTCCTGTTTCTCCTTTCAAACCTTGTAATTTCAGGATCAAATAACAATTCTGTAGGATCAACCTTGCCTCGCATAAAACTTCAAGAGAAGATTAGTAGCAATGTTCAAAACAATTTAAAACAAGAACATAAGAAAATAAAATAAAATAATTACAAAAAGAAAGAAAAATCTTGAAATTCAAGATTATAAGATATAAGAAATCACAATCCCCGGCAACGGCGCCAAAAACTTGATACAATCCGGCAAGTGTACCGATCGTTCAAGTAATAAAGTGATAAGTAAGTTATCGTCTCCATAGGGATTGTGAGCGAATATCTTATAAACGTCCTTTCAAGATATAAAACCCAAGTGATTTGAAGAACAATAGAAATTAAAGAAAAAGACGTATTTTTGGATTTTAAAAATAAGAGAATGATGCAAAATGATTTGGATAAAAATATGAGAGATATTGCAGGTAAGTACACTCGCCCTATGATCCCCTCTTTTCACTACGGATTGATTCACATTGCTCAATTAAAATAAACAATCAAACAATTTATCATCCAAACAATTATTAGCTAAACCCCAATTTCTTGCAAATTTAGCCCTTTAATCACAATTAAAACCCCAATTCCTTGCAATGTTTCAATTGAGATCAAGCATTACACAGATAAATTAAACGTTTGTAATCAAGAATGCGTCTATTCCTAGCACGCATGTTAATTATTATCCTACCCCCTTTCTGGACCAAAACCCCAATATTCCTATCTAGGGTTCTAACCCTCAGATTATCATTCACTACTAAACTGATCAGATTTAATATAAACGATAAGCAATACGCACAGAGTAGGCATAAATCAATTAAATTAAAGAACGAAAAGTAAACCAATCCATAACTAAACAAAAGGTTCACATAGGGTTTGTGACCTTACCCACAATGAAGGAAACTAGCCAGACATGGTCATAGCTGAAAATTCAATATTCCAAAGCATAAAATTACAGAGAAATAGATGAAGAGAAATGTAGAATAATCCTCCTGAGCTCTGCCGTCGGTCTCCTTCTGAAGAAATAGGTCTCCATCCCTAATTCTGTCAAAAGGATCCTATTTATAGGACTCTTTTCTTCTTCCAAAAATACCCTCATAGCATCACGGTACAATTTCCCGCAACCCGGCGCAAGTTGGCGCCGGGTGGGCGCACGTTTGCGCCAACTTGCTGCCTCGAATACGAAAGTCGGAACTAATTGCACGTGAATCAGCGCCAGTTGGCGCCACCCTTGGTCTTTTGGGCGCCACTTGGCGCCATTCTCCCTTGACTTTGTAATTTTGGGCGCCGGTTTGCTTCAAGTTTGGCGAAAGGTGGCATGGTGGCGCTAGTTTGCGCCATTCTGGCGCCAACTAGCGCCAATTCTCTGGCATTTGGCGTGCAACACGGCGCAACTTGGCATGGGATTTCTTCACTTTGGCGTCAACTCGCATCATTTAACTTTTTATACTTTTCAGTTCTATTTCCTGTAAAAATACAATCAATACGTGAGAAATATTATTGACAAGAAAGAATCAATATAATTAGCAAATATGTAATTAAATTGCTCTTTTGTGACTCAATTCTTATCAATTTTAATATGGAAAAACCACACTTGCCAGAGGCACATCATCCTCAAACAACTCATAAATATTGTATCAGACTGCTCAATTTCAAAGAATAGCTCAATAGAAAGAAACTTGAGCCAGTGAGCAATCATAAACTTTTCAAAAAATGAGCTACTCTCCATAGGTGATAAGTAAGAAGAATTTGTTCCAAGGTAAGTGAAGGTTGCTGATCTTCTGTCTCACTGTCACTCAGGACTTGGTGTTTTCTCTGTCTATTCCTGGATGAGATTCTTCGGAACTTGCTTTTCTGCTGCTTTCCTATGAATTGTAGATGTCTTCCCTTCCAAGGATCTTTTGATAGGGGGTTTATGGATGTGTGGAAGAACGGTGGTCTTAAGTATGGGGTCAGGGAACGTCTACCTTTGTGATTTTGAACTGGACTTTTTCTGTTTGGGGGAACACCTTTTCTTTTTGTACCTTTCCTTCCCTTGAAGGGAGATTTTCTGGTATTTTTTCTAAATTCTTTTTAATGGTTGTTCCCTTTTTCTTTGCTTTTCTTTCTTATGTCCTTTTTGTTCATTTTTGGATCTGTTCCTTGCCCCTTTCTGATTGACCTGGTGATGTGTTTGGTGACTATGGATGGAATGGAAGTGAGTGTATGGTTTTGTTTGATCCTTGTTAGTGAAATCCATATGTTCTTCAACAGTACTTACATCATCAAGGAAAGTTTAGAAGTTTCATTGTGGTTACACCTCAGGAACGCTCTCATAAGTAAGTGTTTGACCTTTTTCCGTTCCTTACCAGCTGAGTTCACACAGATCAACATCCCTCAAAAATTTGAAGATTAAATTCTCTGCACTCTTCCTATTTCAGGAACTCTGAGAAAGAATAAGAATGATTAGTCAGTGACTTTGTGTTTCATGTTATTGGCTATTAAAAATTGTACAGCCTTAATACTATAACTGAAATGTATGTACCAAGCAGTTTGATCAAAAAGTCTTTTTCATTGCAAAAAGTTAATATTTACAAGGGAACGGAAAGGGAAATAAATGATACTGGAAATAAACTTGGAATTTAACAATTAGGAGGGTTTTCTTCTTTTCACTAGGGACGTCTGATGTCCTTCTGAGCACCTCTAGCTTCTTTGGCTTCATCAACTTCCTCTTGTGTGAGAGGTCTCCTCCTGAGCTGATCTCTCAATCTTAATACTTCAGCTGCAGGTAGCCATTTCTCAGCATCTTTCAGTAGATCACTGATTATGGCAACGAGGTAATTGATGGTGGATCACATCATTGTCCTGCCAGTGCGAATGTGGACAATTTGTCCTTCAACGTCCAACAGTCTCATCTCCAGCTCATAAATTCTCCCCTCCAAAAATGTTCCAAAGGCTTTGAGTGCTTCTTTGGTTTCTTTCCTTTCTTCAGAGTCCTTGAGGAGGAGCTTATTAAGAAGGAGATCAGCTCTGTGGTTATGCATAGAGTTGGAGAGTATTAGGGATTCATATGCTCTTCTGATTTCTCCCTTGACAGCTTGGAGTGTTGATGCATAAGAGGCAGCACTGGTGTCCTGGATGGTTATCCTGATGGTGCTGAGCTGTTGAGCTGTTGTTCTCTCTGCCTTGTGTTGTTCCTGGAATTTGTTGAAAGAAGAAGAGAGTTGATCCAACCCGTCCCTTGGATCCTTCAGCTCATCATTGGTGCTGGTCATATCAATTTGAGGGACAGATTGCTTTGCTAGCAGCAGCTTTTCTATTCTTTTCCCCATAATATCTCAAAAATTTCAGCAATCCCAATTTGTGATTTCTTCTTTGTAGGAATGGGAATTGCTGGAACGGGGGATTTTTGTTGGCTTTGCTGGCTACTGTCAATAACAGGGGGTTCATCAAGTGGTTGCCTGCTGACCACCTCTGGTGCTTTGATGTTGAGGGGATTGCTTCAGTGTGTTCCTCCGTCAGTGGAGGAATGGCCATTCCTTCCTCCTCTGCTAAGGCTCTAACAAGAGCCTCGTCCCCAGAAGTATCAGGACGGATAACAGGGTAAAAGAGGGGACCTCCCAGACTGAGTTGCTTGGGAACGAATGGCTTTTTCTTCTTTTTAG